AAACAAACTGAACGTTCTACTCGCAACCCTCTTGTGGATCGGATTCTAGATCCTGGTTCTCTTGATCTGAAATGGTTAATGAAAGAGTGAGCTACACTAACCCAGTAAAAATATTACGTTACTCATCGACATAGAAATGAAGATGGATAGAAATCATAAAAATAACTAATGAAGCTCTTAATTAAACAAATTCGTTTATTATAAATAAAATCATTTACCGTCTACTTACCGTAGCGAGATTTACAAAAATAACCTATAGAGTCAATAACATAACATATATCATAATTTCATATGCAATCGGTTGGAACAATCATTTTCTCTTTTATCAGCCTACTAGTATCTATGGGGGTCCATAGGGATGTCCCTACTACACGTGAACCCTTTTCTTTAACATTTTCAATTAACGGGTCGTCCCCATACCCCGTTCGGTATGGACGCCAAATTACCAAATCTCGATACCTCGTTCGATATGAGCGCCAAATTACTAAACTTCGATACATCGTCTGGCATGAGGGTGAAATTACACAGTCTCCATACCCCGTCTAATATGAGCGCAAATTACCAAACCTCAATACCCCGTTCGGTATGAGGCAACGTTCACAATAAGGTTCCCTATGTACCCGGTCCGTCCACCATCTCCCTAGATATCCAGTAAAGCTGTTGTTTCATCCATCCACTTAATAAAATAATTTTCTATTTATCTTTAATTTTCAGTTTCCAATTTAACCGTAATCCCATAAAACAAACAAAACATACATCAAATAAATACAATCGCATCCCAGTTTCCTAATTTAATTGTAATCCCATAAGGCAAGCAATACATGTATTCAAACTATAAAATCAATCGATCAGATATTACCATGCATTCAAACTGTAAGATCAATCAACAAGATCAACAGTGAATAACTTCTGATTCTGACTCCATTAGTAACTTGTAATTAATTATGGATATTTTCTAAATTACACAAAATACCGTATTATTATTGATTCGACTTCAATTCCATAACAAAAAATAAGGTGATGGATTCTTGAGCAAATTGATGTCAAAAAATGCTAAACTTTTGGTTGCACATACTAGCGATTCTTGTATTCCCTGAATTTTCATCCGAGGATTAAAACGCGCTTCGAATACCTAGAAATATCTTAAAAAATCTAAAATCAGTGTTAGAAATCTTTTTGGGCCAATTTTGAAATTCCCGGCATGATGGGTTCCGTCGTGCTCTAGTGATGGTACTGTCGCCTACTGTAGCGCCCGGAAAAGGCCGAAAAAAAAAAAGCCACGTCGGCAGCCACGTCAGCAGCCCGGTCAGCAGTCCC